GCTCAGGGAGAACATTCAAACTCCATGCAGAAAGAGCCAGGCCGGGAAACGAACCCGGATCTTCTTGGTGCTCCTCCGAGCAGCCCATTTTTGTTCATTTGTGATGTAATAAATTTTGTACATGCTGTCAAATTAGAAGTACGTTTCTATTTGAACTTTTAAAAGCCAAACAAGGATGAAATACGATTAACATAAGTTTTGAGTCAAATGAAAAAAGTCAGTAAAGTTAAATTTTTTTCATTATTATGTAACATATTAAATATTGACCCTGTATTGGATGATGGTTAGTGTCAATACAGGGGATAAACAGTAGCCCTATAAACTGAAAGCTAGCTTAATCGGCAGCCCTATATATGCAGCAAAATCTGACCAAAAAATTGAAATTAACTGTTTTGTATTTGTTTTGTTTTTTTATTTAGAACATAAAATAATCATAAATGAAAGTTTGAAGATTTCATTATGTAAAAATGTTGAAATAAAAACAAATTTTAGATTCCTTTCTCAAGCTAACCATTTCCAGTCAAGCAAAAAATTGGTAATATTTTCTAATATATATTTATGTAACTATTATACATAAACAGATGTGCTTTTGTAATCCAGTCTGCTTACTTACTTCAAACAAAAATTGAGGTTTTGATTAAGATGTGTAATTAAAATATGTCGGAAAATTAGCATTTTTAAAGCTAACTGCTATGTGAAGTTAGCTTAGCTTATTTAAAACCCTAACTATTTTATTTAATTCTTTTATATTGATTGAAGTGTTTACTTTTAACTGATTTAAATTATAAATTTAGTTTTAAAAGAATAATATAAAAAAAATTTAAGGTTAGGTATGTTTGCATAAAAACAAAATTCAAACCATTTGACAGAAGCGAAATTTCATATGTGAAATACCTCCACTTACTCATAGAAACTAAAACAATGGCTATTTATATGAAAAATATAAAAAAAATAAGTGGTAAACATCATTCAACAACAGAACCTATTTAGTTGGTTTGTTAAGGTGGTTCATTAAGGGTTAAATTTCCCTAATTTCCTTAGATTTTCTTCCCCACTGCCATTAGACTGCTGAATGTTATGTAAAATGGGTTATTTTATTGTATTCTATTATATTTTATTATTAAAAAACTGAAATGTTTGAACTGTAAATATACAGTCTTATGTTTATATGACTGTTTTTATGTTTTTTTTCTTTTACAGTTTTCAAGACTGCACTTTAAAATAATGAAATTGTCTAGAAAGGTCTTTTTAACAAAATTTCTTTTTTTTTTACACTTGTGTAAACAAAATAAATGACAAAAATAAATCTGTCTAAGTCTAATCTGGTATTTGTGCTGTCAATGGTAGAGCGAAAATGATTAACGGGATTATTGCTGATCAGGGATGTAGGTTACCAATTAATTAATTAATTTGAATTTGATTTATTTTGATTTATTAATCAACTAACAATTATTTTTAAATGCACCTTTTTAAAAAAAAAACTAATTTTTTTCTTGTATCAACACTATCTTTACATTAACATAAGGGCTTGATTTTTTTTTCACTACATGCTACATTAAATAAAAAAGTATTGCTTCAGTATATTTTAACAATTTATTAAACTAGATGAATTAAATACTGACTTAATAAACCAAAAATGCTTTCTTACACATTAAACTAGATAAATTTAGAAGATACATCAAAACAGAAACCTATAACCTAAAAAATATGTAAAAAAAAACTTAAATGTAGAGTATGTTGCCCTGATATACTGTGAAACTGTTTACTACTTAGTTCCAATAAGGTGCACACTAAATTTGATATAGTCTAGCTCTCTGTTTTAAGCATAAACCAGCTTTTAGTGCTGGGAAAACCTTTGTACTGCTAGCGGCGCCTTTAAATGGGTGATCAAATTGGCTCTGATGAGGTGATAACTTTAGGAGTAAATCCAGTTTTTATATTTACAAACAAACACAAGTTAATTCAATGTCCTTGTCATTAATAAACAGAGTAAATAATCCCAGAATATGTCAGAATGTCCGCCTTAACCCCTGTATAGAGCAATATAGGGGATTATGCCATTTTATTTTAGTGTATCAATGTCTAGTGGATGAAAAGTAGTGATCAAAATTTCCAATAATGCACCTTGAAAAATAGTGTGCATCCATGTTCACTAGACCCACAATGCTTTGCAAGAGTTCTCCCTGCAAAGCAACGTGAGGTTTGTTTTTGTGGCGAGAAAGAACAAAGATGCTGAAGGCATCGTGCGGGGAGCCGGAGTCACGTCACCAACTGTGAGGGAAAAGTAGTGATCGTCTCTCCGAATGGTCAGCTTAACGAAGTTCACTACAATTTTCACTATATAGTCCCTGCTCTATATAGTGATAGAGGGATTTAGGGTTCCTTCCTGCTATGGCATTAAATCAATCCTTTTTTTTTGCAAATACAAGTAAGAATAAATAACACCCTCTAGTGGACGACAGTAAAACTACAAGACCAAAAGTAATTTTTATTAGACGGCACAAATTATAATTAATACACCATTAATAGACAATCATTCATAAGTTTATTATCTGTTTGCATCTCTAATGGAAATTATTTGATTAATGCATTTATTGAAAAGTTGACATATGAATTATTTTAGACTTGTGTTTAATATTTTAGTGGGAAATCTAATTATTCTAATCTATATTTTATTAAATAATAGTGTTTCTACAGTAATACTTGATTATTATTAAAATGTATGATCTAAAGTGTAATATTAACATTTTTTTTATTTCATGGAACATTTGGCATCATGAAAATCATCTAGCGACCCTCCACTTATGAAATTTCAATACACATTTTGTTTCTACATTTTAAATGTGTTTTTTTTAGAAATGTTGATGTCAACAGAATCATTAATAGATTTGTAAAATAATGTATAGCTGCAGCCATAATCGAATGTAACATCAACATGGCTCACTAATAATCAGAGGGATTTAAAAGTGTGATTTTACAAGTGTTTTTGTTGAGAAAAAATAAAAAACACAGAAATATTTTGAAATGTGCAGTGATATTGCCAAAACAGTAGCTGAAAGGCAGTTCATTGTGATTCCAAAGCCAACATCAGCACAGCAAGGCTGTCAGCGCACCGGTTTTCTTCCCTGGCAACAGCTGCGACCCGACTTGCCTGTGACTGAGCCCTGGGCTCGTCTCGTCACCCTCAGACGGTCTGTCCCCGTCTGTTTGAGTGTCACTGGGTCCTTCTTCTCCTCCTGTGACCCTTAGATCCTCACGCTGCAGCAGACAAAATCCCCATGCTGTCGTCATGCTGAGCTGCAGGGGAGCAGCAAACCAGCATAAAAAGCATGGAGTGAATTTTGGTCCATTCTTTT